GGATTTTCCCTCACCCAGGATCCCCTTGAGGTCGCTTTTGATGATGGATTGGAACCAGGAATTGTTGGTTTGGATCAGGAAACCGTAGAGCATCCGGGCCACCTGCAAAAAACGGGAATTTTTTAGGGAAAAATGGGAATTTTTTTGGGAAAAACAGGAAAAAATGACCTCAGAGCGGCCGAAATTTTGGGATCACGGGGTGGGAAAATTGGAAATTGTAATTCCAGGGATTTCAGGAAATTTGGGATTTCAATTTCAGGGATTTCAGGAAATTTGGGATTCCAACTCCAGAGATTTCAGGAAAATTGGGAATTTCAATTTCAGGAATTTTGTGAAAATTGGAAATTGCAATTCCAGGGATTTCAGGAAAATTGGAGATTTCAATTTCAGGTACTTGAGAAGAATTTGGGATTTCAATTTGAGGGATTTCGGGAAAATTTGGGATTTTAATTTCAAGAAATCAAGGAATACTGGGGATTTCAACTCCAGGGATTTGAGAAAAATCGGGAATTCTGATTCCAGGGAATCCAGGAAAATTGAGAATTGTAATTCCAGGGGTTTTGGGAAAAACAGGGATTTCATTTCCAGGGATTTTAGGGATTCTAATTCCAGGGACTTCAGGAAAATTTGGGACTTCAATTTCAGGGATTTCATGAAAATTGGGGATTTCAATTCGAGGGATTTGAGGAAAATCAGGGATTTCTATTTCAGAACTCCATGAAGATTTGGGATTCCCAGAATTCCCAGAATTCCCAGAATTCCCACCGTTTTGGGATCAGCCCGGATGCTCTCGGCGCCTTCGGTCCCTCCGGCCAATGAGAACAGAGCCCGAGCCACAACCGTGCCCAGCTGGGCCAGAGCCTGCGGAAAAACCGGAATAAAATGGGAAAAATGGGAAAAATGGGAATGGAAAAAACAAGAAAATGGGAATGGGAAAAGCGGGGAAAATGGGAATAAAAATGGGAAAAATGGGAAAATGGGAATAAAAATGGGGGAAATGGGAAAATGGGAATGGGGAAAATGGGGAAAAATAGGAACGAGATAAACGGGAAAATGGGAATGGGAAAAAGGGGAATGAGAATGGGAAAATGGGAATGGGGATGGGGAAAATGGGAAAAATAGGAAAAATGGGAATTGTTACCCCAGGACTCACTTTTCTTGCCATTCCCAAATCCCTCCCGGCCCCATTCCCACCCTGATCCTGGAAATCCCGGATTATCCCAGGTGCTCCCAGAAATCCCAGATTATCCCAGAATTCCCTGATGATCCTGGATGAACCCAGAAATCCCAGAAACCCTGGATGATTCCAGAAATCCTGGATGAGCCCAGAACTCCCGGGCAATCCCAGAATTCCCAGATGATCCCGGAAATCCCTGATGATCCCAGAAATCCCAGATGATCCCAGAATTCTCGGATTTTCCCAGAAATCCCGGATGATCCCAGAATTCCCAGAATTCCCAGAATTCCGGATTTCCCTGACCTTGGCGGTGTCGCTGACGAATTCCAGGCGCTGCTCCGGGCTCAGCCCCTCGGGATAGCGCAGCCCGATGGTCTCAGCTGTGTCAAAGCGGCTCTGGAAATACCTGGGAATGGGAAACAATGGGAATAAATGGGAA